GTGTGCTTGTATTATCTTAACTGTCTAAATAAGTCAAAATTTGTATTGCATAACGTAGGTCCCTTTTTTAAAATCTTAATGGCAGTTCTATTATGCCTGTATAGTACTTGTATGGGCTGTATACTTATGCACATATTATAGCCATACATAGGTACAACGATATAAGGTATAAATTTAATGATGTTAACTTAATTTTCCCAACTCGTGTTCCCAAAACATAGTATAACAAAGGTAAGCTAGCTTTTAAATATTTTAAGTAAAAAAAAAAATATTTTTTTTTATTATTCAAAATTTACAAATTCTGTTATGAGAGTATTCTACAAATATAATACCTGGGTAGTTGGATCAGTGATCTAAATTTTTAATTAGAAAATTAAAACTTATATATAATGAAATATGACATAATATAGCAAAATATAAAATTTTGGTTTTTATTTTCTTGGTTTTTTTCCGTGGTCTTTTTTTCCTTTGGTTTTTTATTTTTGGTTTTTTCAGTGGTCTTATTTCCGTGATTCATTTAATTAAATATACAGTTATTCATTGAATTATAATTTAACTGTTTTTATAATCATGCATTTATTTTATAATTAAATATTATATATAGACCCTTCAAAAAATCGACATACCCGAGCACCAACGAAGATGACATAAAAAAATGTTATTATTTATAAAAGATATTAAATTGTACAATTTAGTTAAAGTAATTTAAGTATGTACCTAATACAAGCCAATGGTCCTGTTATAGAGGCTTTAACTTAAATTTTAAAAAAAAGTCATTAGTATTATACTGTATTTATTTATTTCATAATTAAAAAGGAATTGTTTTTTTGTTTGTTCTAAATACTGAAATTAATTCTATACATAAATATAAGTATTAAATAATAACAATAATGACATATTGAATTTTAAAAAAGAAAAAAATTATTCATTTGTTTTTATAAACATATTAACCAAAATTACATAATATTTATTTAATTAAATACAGTTTAAATTAATGTAATGCGTGTTACTTTCCTGCAGTACAACAATACAGAGTCACCTGGGATTTGTAAAAGCAGTTTTTCAGGGGCTTGAACAAGGTTTGAAACCGAAAACATTTTTCCCTATTTTTTTCAATTTTGTTTTCAGTTTTAATATTGATTTGAAATACCAAATATAAACAGGTTAATTTAAATTATATTACTTTAACATTTTAGTCAAATAGCATTTTCTATTTTCGGAATAATTTAATGTGATGATTGACACCAATTTGGTTTTTACGTTACCGTATTATATATTGTATAATATGAACTAGATAAATAATATTAATATGACCTTGAAAATTGAACATCCCACAATACAAATTTTGGATGTTATAACTTTATAAATCACATATTTAAATAATATATTGTAGGTTAATATTGATTAATATGTAGAACTCACAAAAACTTGAAACACTTAAAAATGTTAACAGACAACAGTCAAAGTAAAGTCAAATACACAATGATTTGTAATACCGTAGTAATAGCAAAATACCAAAATCGTCATTTTTAGCACTACTGTCGGACAATAACACCATTAAATGGCATAAAATAAAGACTCATAAATGTTTTAATCAGGGATGGGAGGTAACCACACCGCGATTTTATACGACGCGCGTAAAGGCCCACTCATACAGGTCGCCAGCAAAGAAGATTGTCTCCAGCGGCACCGTACAACTAATAAAATTTTGCCATCACCGCCGCCGCAGTGTGTTCGTACTTATCTTAAATATGGCATGAACATTTTGGAATTTTAAAATTAGGTGGTCCTCGTAATAAATGTTGTTTTTGACGAAGTACGGTCCTCGACTATCATACTATTTATTCTGTTATTATTTGCTGTCCACGTATTATTTTTTCTAGGTGGAATACATAGCGCCGCAATGTAACGTCGAGCATAGTGGTAGATCAGCTAACCACAGAAATAAGACTATAATATTATAGTCCGTGAGTAAACGTTACTCTACTCGAAAATCAGACGAAATTGTAATTCTTTTACGGAAACGAAACAATAGAAATAAACACTCATTAACAAGATCAACAACTATTTGAAAGCAACAAAGTCAAGAAAAAGCGTCTGACTACCTACTTAGATTGGTATTTACATTGTCGTCCGTGTTTTAATCGTTATCCCCTTAATCTTCTCATAAATTATACATTTAATTAATTAATTCGTCATGCTTTTGTATGTAATATTATCATGGTTCGGCTATAGTAAATGCTAAATAGTTATAGATCTGGAAACCGGCGATAGAGAATGAGATCCGTAATAATTCCTCGTTTAAAACGAGCTTTCTGTTTAGTAATAATATTGTTTCAATCGGCCGCCGCCGATCACTTGTGTTTCGTCCGACAGTCGATAGATGCCGTTCGCGTATGCGGTCGTCTATCGACGCGTTCGCCGGACGTTTTCGGCGAGCCGCAGCCATCGGGTTTCGCGGTCGGACAACACCGAAAACTTTCACTGTACCTGGCCCGGACCGGACGACTTGAGTCTATATCCAGTAAAACTGTGTGGTGTGACACAAGCCCAGTGCACGGTGTAGTACTAGGGTAGACGGTAATGTAGGGAATCGAACACTGCGACGACGGTAACTCCGGTTCCCCTTCAATACGATAATATATGACGCCTTTTACTAAAGATTTCCGCAGAGGGTAACATTCAAAAGAGTCTAGAAATGTAATTTTTTACACGCCTAACCTCCTGAAACAATAATGGAACTATTAAATATTGAAATAAACTGCATGTAATATGTCACTGGAGGTTGTCAGATGTGTGAAGTAAAAACCTTGGTACATGGCGTAAGAGAAATTTTTTAATAATAATAATAATGTTTGTACTCCGTCCAGCGTGAACATTTTTGGCCCGAAAAAATCAGTTATTTCAAGAGCCCGTATCCGCCAGTTTCAATAGTGTGGCAGTGTGCTGTTCGTTTTGATATCATTGAGAAATGACCTATTATAAAATTTAAACGTGAGATTGTCATCTAGGGCCCAATTTGGCCTTTTATTGTTATTATTATTTACAAGTAAGTTATAAACATTTTAAAATGTACAGTTTCAAAAAGGTCATAACTTACTAAAAAATAATAATATTAATAAAAGCCTACGTATCAATTTTATAATAGGTCAATTCACTCTAATACAAAACTAACAGCACACTATCGAAACAGGTGAACGTAAATTTGCTGTTATATACGTGTGTAAGTCGTAACAACACATGTGGGTACGATGTCCTCTTGAGTATCCTTACGTGGTACCCTACCACAGTGAAACCAATTTCGATAGTAGGGGGCTGTATCTTGAGGATGTACAGAATTGGCGTATTGCCTCACTACTCACTGAACAGTGAACAGCTAGGGCATAGGAAATATCAGCCATCACCGCCAAGTTGTTGATACCTTAGCCCTTAGTACGGGAGGGGAAAGTCTTGTGTTCACTGTTCACCGTCGTGATATGCCGATATATATTGCAGACAATAATTTGTATTATACAAATTGTACCAAATTAATTATTTTTTAAATCTTGAGTGTCTAGTAGATACGATCAAAAACTATAAAACGTACATTATAGCATTTATATTGTATTTAGTGCAGCGTTCATATTTTTAGGTAAAGTCCAAGATGTCCGACGGTGCATAACGCATTAATGCCTCGAGATCCTGGCGTGCAACCCAAGGTGTAAGTTATTATACGTAAGTACAATTTTTTTTTATTGACAACTGACAAGTTCTAATTTTGACAAAATTGGATAGGCATTTTAATGAAAAACAATTTTTATTATTTAGTTGTATGTAATTAAAAAGTATTAATCGTAGAAACAACTTGAAACATAAGTAGTAAGTACATAACACTATTACTTAAATTGGGTATAATTTTCCATGTGTCTTTACATATATTGTATGTAATATTGTGTAAACATTAATAAACGATGGCAGCAGAGGAGATACAATAGTTCACACAGCGTCTCTTCAGCTGTCGGTATAAACAGAAAAAAGGTATATTTTTCCATAAGCTATATGCCATTTTCAAAAAAAAAAAAATTTAAATGTTTAAGCTATCAAACAAACCTATTCAAACCATCGTCAACGGTAAGGACCACGGGGTATTCACTTGTTTCATAATATTATCGTTCATCAATTTTAATTAGTCTAATGACTGTTTCAAAACTTTTTGAACATTTTGTGTATTAAATGCAATGTTTTTAACAAAAAATAGTTCAACATATTGTACTTACTACTAAAAGAAATGTACTTTTTCGTGTGTATGTGGCATGTCCTAAATCTGTAAAAGTGAGAAGGAAAATATTATTTTATATACATTTTTGATGATTTAACTGTACGAGTTTTTGTAAGATTCAACTGTTTCACTGTCATTAGGTTAGGTACCTATGCCGAATTTGAATCGTTAAGTTTTGGAAAAAAGATAAATATGTATGGTAAGATTTACGGCATAAATTTTTTTATTTTAACAAGAGGTTAAAAGCAAAAGTATAATTGACTTATAAAAAAAATTATATATATATTTTCCAGTACCTAGGTAATTTTAATTGGCAGGTCTATTAAAACGTAATAAGAAGTTAATCATTTGTATGTTTGTATAAGTAGTAGGTAATTATAAGCTAGAAGAACATTTTGCGATTTTAGGTTTACAGGGCGTAACAGAAACATATGACAAATTAAATAACTCGTATTCTAATCAATGTTAAATTTTTTTTTATACAATTAATAGATAATAATACGTAATTAATACGTATAGTAAAAAGTACAACTAGTACAGACATTATTAATAATAAGAACAATAAGAATAATTAGAACACAAGTTATTTTACTTTTTATATCTTTTTGTTACACCCTGTACAATATATTACATAAATACACAATACCGTAATACATTATGTTGCATATTCAGCATTTATATAATATAAGAAACGTAGTGTTTAACAATTAATAATAATAAGTATCATATTACGATCGGAGGGGATTGTCCATCGGTCAGTAGCCAGCACATAATTTCATTATACGACATTACGATTTATATGTTTGACAATAAAAGACTATAATTTACGTTTGCGTTATTATTCACATTAATGATACACAACAAATTGGCGACGAAGATAATTCAAATCGTTTGATCGTAATCACTATTGCTTAAAAAAAAAAAGAAATAAAGAAATGACAACTCCGAAGACTGATTCCATAATGAACTTCAGTCAAGTTATTGGGTCACCAGGAACTTTTGAAACAGGTATGGACATAACAATTTTCGAGTCAAAATTAACAAATTTTTTTATGGCAAATTCGATTGAAAACAAGATTCAAAAAAGAGCAATTTTACTATCGTCAGTGAGTGAAGAAATACATAAAGTGCTTTTCAGTTTATGTGTTCCTAGCACGCCTAACGATGTGGAGTATGATACTCTAATAAAAAGTTTGAATAAATATTTCAAACCGGTAAAATCGTACTTTGCGGCTAGGTATACATTTTATCAAGCTAGACAAAGACAAGATGAATCAGTGTGCCAATGGGGTGCACGTGTCAAAAATCTTGCTTCAAAATGTGGCTTTTCATCGGAATTAACAACGGTTATTCGAGACATATTTGTTGTCGGCATGGGTTCAGGACCAATACAAGATCGTCTGTTAGAAGAAGATGCTGCAAATGTTGGAGTTACATATTCAAAACTAATGGAAATTGCGACAGCCAAAGAAGCTGCAATCAACGACAAAAGCAGCTGGAACAAAGAAGAACGCGTAGATTTGAAGTACCAGAAAAAAAGCAATGGACATAGTCAAGCCAAGCAGGGGTTTCATTCAAAAATCAAATGCGGGGTTTGTGGCCGTTCCAATCACCTTCAAAAAGACTGCAGATACAAGGACTACGAATGCAACAATTGCGGTGAAAAGGGTCATTTGTCAACTGTATGTAAAAAGGGTAAGAAAGAAATGAATAATAATAAAAAGACACAAAATAAATTTTTATACGATAACGACGATGATGACGAAACAGTTAATTATGATCTTGCGAATACTTTTTTTTCTATTGTTGATCAAAATTCTCAAAAAAAGGCGGTGAAACCGTTTACAGTAAATTTAATCGTAGAAAACAACAACGTTAACTTCGAAATTGACACTGGTTCACAACACAGCGTAATTTCAAAAAGATTATATCATCAACTGTTTAGTCATATCATATTAAAAAAAAATGATATCTCGCTCTCCGATTACGTCGGCAACGAAATTAAACCGATTGGAAAAACATTTGTAAACGCGGCATATCAAAATAAAAAATTTACAATGTGTCTTTATGTAATCGACAATGGTGGTCCTCCACTAATAGGTCGAAATGATATAAAAAATATAAAATGTTTTACTTTGTTTAATATTGAAAATTACGAAAATGTCGATAGTATTATAAGCAAATTTAACAGTGTGTTTAAAGATGAAATAGGTACTTTTAACAAATACGAAATTTCCCTAAATATCAAACCTGGGGCGGTACCTAAATTTTACAAACCTAGGTCTATTCCGTTAGCATTAAAACCAAAGGTTGAAACCGAAATTGAGCGTTTAATTAAAAGCAATATTTTAGTTCCCGTCGACCACAGTGAATGGGCAACTCCAATAGTACCAATATTAAAACCGGACGGCACGGTTAGAATTTGCGGTGATTTTAAAATAACAATTAATCCGGTATTAGAAGGGACCGAATACCCTCTTCCAAAAATAGAACATTTATTTGCAAATGTTAGTGGTTCAAAATATTTTTCAAAAATAGATTTAAAAGACGCATACCAACAAATGGTCATTAAAGAATCTGATCGCAAATATACCACTATTAATACACACAAAGGTTTATTTAGCTATACCCGTAACCCTTTCGGTATAAAATCATCGGCAGGGGAGTTCCAAAAAGCTATGGAAACTTGCGCAGCAGGACTTGAGGGCATAGGTATATTCCAAGATGATATAATTGTTGCAGGATCTACTATCACAGAGCACAATGCTCGTCTGGAAAAATTACTAAATGTATTGTCTAATACAGGTTTAAGAGTTAAGTTGAATAAGTGCAAATTTATGCAAAAATCAATTGAATATTTGGGTCACAGGTTAGATGAAAATGGTCTACACACACTAACAAAACACACAGATGTTATAAGCAATGCAACTGTCCCAGAAAATAAAACATTGCTAAAATCATTTTTAGGTTTAGTCACGTATTATATAAAATTTATACCAAACGCTGCAAATATTTTAAAACCACTGTACGTACTTTTACGTAACGGCAGTGAATGGAATTGGACACCAGAATGTGACAAAGCATTCAATAGAGTTAAACAAATTTTAATTTCGAAACCCGTATTAGCACATTACGATCATAATATTCCGATTAAACTCGTAGTAGACTCATCATCATATGCACTAGGCGCAGTACTTTCGCATGTATATCCAGATCGTACAGAAAAACCTATAGCCTATGCCTCAAGGGTTTTATCTGAGTCAGAATGTAAATTTCCACAAATTGAAAAAGAAGCTTTGGCAATTATTTACGGTGTTACAAAATTCTACGACTATCTATATGGTAGGCATTTTCTATTAGAAACCGACCATAAACCGTTAATATACATTTTCGGTGATAAGAAAGGTATCCCAATTTACGCGGCAAATCGGTTACAACGATGGGCCTATGTTCTATCATCATTTGATTTCGATATAAAATATGTGAAATCCGAAGATAATACAGCTGATTTTCTATCACGAATAAAAGGTTCAAAATCAAAAATAGAAAATCAAAATGAAGGATGTATTAATCTTAACTTTATTCACGAACAATCACCTTTCACATTAGACTGGTCTAAAATAAAAATCGAAACAAGTAGAGACACAATTCTCGCCAAAGTATTAAACGCAGTCAAAACAGGAGAATGGAATAGTGATTTTTCTAATAATCTAGAACTTAAGTCGTACAATATACGAAAAACTCAAATTTCGGTGGAACAGGGATGCCTATTATGGGGTTACCGTGTTATTATACCAGCAAAATTTCGAAACAATATTCTAAGCGAACTTCATTCATGTCACATGGGTTCTTCCAGTATGAAAAGTTTAGCGAGATCATACTTTTGGTGGCCAGGAATGGATAAAGAAATTGAAAATATTTCGCAAAATTGCGACAATTGTCTTAGTGTTAGGCAAAATCCACCAAAATCTATTATATCACCTTGGAAATGGCCAGAAAAACCGTGGACTAGAGTGCATTGCGATTTTCTTGGACCATTTCAAAATAAATATTTTTTTGTCATTGTTGACGCAACCACAAAATGGTTAGAAGTATTTCAAGTAAATTCTATGACAGCAGAAACTGTTATTCAAAAATTTTCAGAAACCATAGCACGATTTGGCATTCCAAAAACAATTACATCAGACGGCGCAAAATGTTTCACAGGTTTTGAATTTCAAGCATATTGCAAAAATCTAGGCATAAGGCATATGACAGGTGCACCTTTCCACCCGGAATCGAACGGTTGTGCTGAATCAGCAGTCAAAACAATAAAAAATTTCTTTAAAAAATGCTCAACTAAACAATCCCAATTAAATAAATTTCTTTTGATGTATCGTAATACTCCTCATTCAACCACACGAGAAACGCCAGCTCAGCTAATGCTAGGTCGAACAACACGTTCACAGTTTGACGCGTTAATTCCGAGTACAAGTGAAGTGGTTATTGAACGACAAATATCACAAATAAACAATGGCGGTAATAGGGCTGTATCATTTAATATAGGCGATAATGTTTTAGCTAGAGATTATAGGAACAATAACAATAAATGGCAAAAGGGTAAAATTATCAAATGCATAAGTTACAATACACATGATGTAGAACTGGATGACGGAACTATTTGGACAAGGCACAATGATCAATTACTGATAGACAAATCGTTGACACCTTCGGGTAATTCTGTTTCACTTACACCCACTAAACAAACAAATGAAAATTCGGAAAATACTGAACCAGCAGGTGAAAATAAAAATCCTGATCCCATTATAGTGAATAAAACACCCAGGCCAGTTAGATCTAGAAAACCGCCTCAGCGATACTCTCCAAGTGATTATGATTAATGTAATAAAAAAAAAAAATATACACCAACATAGCAATTAAGTACTACACTATATAATACAAATATATATATATATATTTTTTTTTTTTTCCTTTTTTTTTAAAGGAAAGATATGTTGCATATTCAGCATTTATATAATATAAGAAACGTAGTGTTTAACCATTAATAATAATAAGTATCATATTACGATCGGTGGGGATTGTCCATCGGTCAGTAGCCAGCACATAATTTCATTATACGACATTACGATTTATATGTTTGACAATAAAAGACTATAATTTACGTTTGCGTTATTATTCACATTAATGATACACAACACATTACAATAATGGTTTTCTTTAGTTAACATTTTACATGATAAAATATCCAGAAAAGTTCATGTATTATACTTATGTACATTAGTTACTCATGTACATAATTATCACTGATTAAGAAAATTAAATTTTAAATTAGGTCAAACAGACTTTTAATACTTTTTGAATGAAACTCCACTTAGAATAAAATTGGGCTTACTTACAACTATTTTTTAATGATTCTTTCAGTGCGATTCTGTGTAATAAGTTGACTTTCATAAAATACGCCATAATCGTTGTGAACTGCTACAGTTTCCGTTTAATAATAATGAAGTATTATTATATTCAGCATTTCAGCAAGCTACACAATACACTGCAGTAGTTAAAAAATACATATTATATTATCATCTTAAACTTAAACAAATTATTTAACTATTATAACATAAATAGAATAAAAAGTTTGTAAAAAAAAGTTGAATAACAACAAAATATAGACACATTATGGTTTTCAGGACGTATAAAATAAATAAAATATATAAAAATATAAATAGGTTTTATAATGTGTTACAGCTTGTATATCATACATTTATTAAATATTCGCATTGAATTTTGTATGTAGGTGCATTTTATAAGATATCCGATAAAATAATGAGGGGGAATAATGAATTTCCTGTAGAGCTAGTGTTTCAGCGCTGTATCGATTGAAGTTTTTTTTTTTAGAACAGTCACACTTTTGCCGACCCGACAGGCAGCGCTAATACATAAATGTGAAGTACCAAAAAGTTTACAGATTGTTACACACAATCCCTTTTTACATCATTTTTTATTATGATCTCTTTTCTGGCAGCGGTACAGCATCCAGCATTCCATTTTGTGGCAGTTTATTCTGACCCACAGTAATACGTTTACGTGTGTCGTCACTGTGATTTTTTTATACAATTAATTACATTTTTTACGAGATCTTATGAAATTCCTTTGTTACAAATATGTAGTATATTACCATATAACAATTATTCACTTGAACTAACTACAGATTTCAATTGCATTCATAAAGGTAAATTGTTTGTTTTTTACAACTATTTTATTAAAAAAATGTGAACATAATTCACTTCATTTAAATTTAAATGGAAAAGCATCTGCTTATTTCGACAATAATTATTAATTACAACGCATAATCAATTTTAGATGTTAACATTTTTTTTCTTCATATTTTCTTACTTTTAATGTTTAGGATTATTTTGGGGTAATATTCGTAAAAAGTAATACTAAATGGATGGTTAATATAAAACGAGTTATTCCTATGTTGATTCTGAAAAAATTATTCCGATGAAAAGCCATAAATAATATGATAAAGATACATAAATTTAAATATGAAGTATTAATTAATTATTACGCATATTTGGTATCTATTAAGTAATATAGCTACTTTAAATTAAATGTAAATAATATATTTACATGCATTTTTTAATATTAGGGGTATGTTTCTCCTCAGTTCAATTTTTCGTGGTCATATATATGTATATATATAAGTATGTTTTCGAAAATTCTTATTGTAAATATTTACAAACAATACTTTTTCCTAAATAAATGTATTTAAGTATTAGGTTTGTGGCTTTATATTTTATAGTATACACCAGTGGTTTTAAATCTTACACGAATCGCGACACCTGAAATAAGTTAATAATAGAAAGTGAATACATTTTCTAAATAATATAATATTTAACTACTCGTGTTTTAAGTTAAATAATAGATATAATTAATGGATATTTAAATGTGTTTTATTTTTAGAATTAACCACCACAATTTACAATATTTATTTAAATTTAATTTGTAAACAGGTAGGTATACATTTGAATAGTTCAATTTTTATTTTATCAAATTGTCAAAGTTTCTACTTCAAAATAACTTTAAAATTACATGTTTGAGGAATCATCATATAAAAGACTATTTTGTTCATTATTTTTGGTGACCCCTATCAATCACCCGGGGCCCTTTTTGGGGGGTTTCGACCACCAGATTGGAAACCACTGGTTTGCACTATCACTATATAAATTATTACATTTTTTTCTGAAATTTAAAATTTATTATTTTTAACTTAAATTATTTTTCATAACTAAATGGATCCATAAAAATATAATATCAAATAAATGTATAAGTAGTAATATTAATTAGTATCATCAAGTTTAGAATAATTCGCACAAGCCACAAGTGTAATAACTAACAAATTATTTAATTATTATTACAATGAGTTCTAACAAGTAGAAGCGGTACATGCCAAAATTGTTTTTGTATTTTTAGCGACAATATTATTCATGAACAACATAATATATTATGCTACACACACCTATGTAATGCACCTATGCACAATATGACTAATACCAAACCTATATTCGTTTTTATACGTTTACCTACTAAATAATAGTATTGAACAATAATAAAAAAACTATTTTTATTATTTTTTAGTTAATCACTGATTTTATATTATATTATTTAGCTGAACTTAAATAAAATAATTATATTTATATATCAATAAATTAATTATGCAGTATGCACATACCTATTTTATTACATCATTAAACATACTTAATGTAAATAATACTTTATGCAAAAAAGTTAGTTTTAAGATTAAAAGTATAAATTTACTTGTCAAGCTTAAAGTATTTTCAATTTTCTTAATCGATTTATTTGTTTCCTTGTAAAATATTTATTAATATAAAATATCTATTTTACAGAAACTATGATTATCAGAAGTATATTTTTTGCGGCGTTTGTATTTTATTTTTCTAATTCTTCGGCAACTAAAATATGTGATCGAAAGCCAACCACAATATCAACACCAAAAAGTACAAATCCGCATCCGTTTAGAATTATTTTTAAAGGAAATGTAGAATTTTATACACCAGGAACTACATACACAGGTAACAAAAATCATGATTGTTAAATTCGTTACTTAGTTAATATTATTTATTAAAAAGAGTATGAATATAGGTATATTATTTATTACAAAAAACTATCCTTACAAAATTCGAATAAATAATTTAAAATTTAAAATAACCAATTAAGGATTAATTATAATGTAATAATAAAAACTAACAGTATTTTCCTCGATTGTATTTTTTACATTTATTTATCATAGTTTCCTATAATTGTAAAAATAAATTTGTTTTGATATTATTTTTCATGTATCTTTTAGCTTTTAGATTCTGAGTGGAGCGATGAATGTGTAGCATTTTGATGTGTTTATTTATTTTTTTGTCAGTGTGGTAGTGTGTATTGTGTAAATGTTTTATAGAAGGAAAATGTCCAAAGGTTTGATCTTCAACATCGAGTGAGGTTTCTGGTACCAAATAGGATCTAGTTGGTACTTTTAAGAAGTCAAAATCAGTTTTTGACAAAATACATTTTATGTTTTGTTTTAATTCAAAATTAAATGATCTAAAAAATCCATTACAGTGACTCACTCAATGTTGAGATATGCTCTACACCTATGGTATAGCAGAGTGCAGAGTATACCTAAGATAAAGTATAATCTGTAGACAATTATTACGAATATTGATAGCTAAAGTTTTATAAAATATAATAAAAGTATAACATAAAAAACAGAAAAATAATAATAGTTATGAGGCTACTCAGCGTCAGCACCTAACCGTTAATTTTGTGATCATTTCATTTTTAAATAGTGTGACCAAAATTTTAGTTTTATCAATTCCTAAGCTCTACTTTTGATATTCTTAAAATTTTGTAAAATATTTGATGTTTTGAGCTGTTAACTGACATTTTCAGTTTTCAATTTTTTTTTACCCAGCAAATGTCAATACAATTTTATTCGTCGATAAAAAAAGCTTGAATATTAAATATAAGGTTCCTGATATGTTGTTACAACAGCAGTTGAAAAATACTAAAAATATATCAGCAAGATTATTTTTAAAAGCATTATAATAAGTTCACGTTTTGAGAAAATTCATCATAATTCATTCATAACAGACACTCCTCTAGACGATGGTAAGAAAAAAGTCTCGGGGTAAAAAAGTCCCGGAAAAAAAGTACCAGGAAAAATGTCTGGTTTCTAAAAATTATAACTAATAAATACAAAACAGATGTATTAAAAAAAATCTAATAATTATATATTAAAAAAAAATATGTCATTGAATCATAATCAATAATATTATTAAAAAATAATCAGGAAAATGTTTACAGAATAGAAAACAAAATATAAAATAATGGTAAATAAACTATGTATAAATGTTATAAAATTTCCATTTTTGAAAAATTAAAACAATTGTTTAAAACCTTTAACCATTTAAAACCATTGTATTAGCGTACTCTGTATACAACTGAATTTCCTGTACAAGAGAGCTATATCCATTTTTAAATTATATTTGCATTTACCTATACGGCTATACGTACTAGGTAGACATAACCAATTAAATAAATATAATTATTTAATATATTATTAATTATAAATATGCAAATTTAATTGTATATTATTGATTGTGCCTAATAATATGATCGTAAATAATTCGTAATGAGTGTAATTTGGATAGTAAAAGTTGTAAAATACGACACTTCACGGTTTGTTTTGAATTGGTTGTTTCATTCGCTTTTGTATGAACGTAGTAAGGACGTTATAGGAACATTGCAGGGACGATGTAATGAATGAATGTTGACGGGGTTAGATAACTAAATTAATGTAACAGGATCATGTACATTGTACGGCGAACGTGATGACCGCTACTGCCGCCGTCTCAAACACTGGCTGCCGATTCCGCCGCCGCAAAAATCGAAGAACAGTAACGACTATTACATGCGGTACTGGTACATATAAAGTGAATTTGAGCCCGCCACAAGTAGAATTACCAAAAATCGAAATAGTAATTGTAGGCTGAGTCGGGCTAGTCGGGTCCAGATCCGTTTTTCGTATTAAGAGGACACTACCCATGCATTTGTTGTCTTACATAGGTACGACCTAGAACATTTTCGTTCACTAGTTTTAATAGTGTAATGTTAGTTGTGATATTCGAGTGAATTGACCTATTATCAAAGTTTTAGGTAAGAACATTATCTATGCACAGGGTTCGGCTGATTTTTGGATATTTTAATTTTCAAGCGAGATATGAACATTTCTGATTTGAGTTATTTCACATACTCGTATCTTCTTGAAGATGAAAATATGGAAAATCCGCCGACGCTCAAGCATAGATAATGTTCTTACCTAAAAGTTTGATAGTACTTAAATTCACTCTAATATCAGAACTAACGGCAGACTTTTCAAACTAGTTAATGAAAATTTGGTATGTCGTAAGTTGGTGAGACGCAGACAATAAACTTGTGGGTAGCATCCTCTTAAATGATAATAATTGAATTCAGATACATCCGTTACAACGACTTTCTCGACCGCAGATCATTTGTCTACTTGTATTTCATCATTTATGTTTCCGTCTTTATGCTGTTCTTTTTGGTATTTTTACCTGATTTTTCTGGATGTTCCTGGAAATTTTTACATTTGACCTGCGACTAGATCTCTGAAATAACAAATATTATGAGTATAAAAATATATGATAATATATTTTTTAGATTTTTACATGTAAGTATATAATGTATAAATGAACAAATCATTATATTATAATATACTATTTCTATTATATTATTTCGAATGAAAATGGCAAAACCAGCTTTCAAAAAATTCGATTTTGGTTTTTTATGTCACTCTCAAAAAATTACCATAGATACATGCAATTTTCACTGAATGTTTGTATTTACATTTTCCATACACCATAACATTTTAAAAATATTTTGGCTAATGTTGAACTACTTATAGGCATATGAAATTTTTGATTATTCTTAGTTTTTTTCGATTAATGTCTATAAAAAATGGTATCTCTGTTAAAAAACTTTTTTATTTAATAAAAGATTTCTTATAAGTTTGTCTACTTTTACCAAAACAAAATTGATAGAAACAATTTCTACCTGAAAGTCAAATTAAACTTTTATGAGCGTTTGAAGTTGACATTTTTACAACATTGGATATTCACTCCATTTCTCATATGGTGATTTTCTTATTTTGTTATAATTCAAAAACGAATAATTGCAGATACTTGAAATTTACATTATATGTTTATATTATTAATTCATATACTTGAATACTTGATACAATTTTTAAAATATTTTAACTCGTCTTAAGCTGTTGCAAGACATTTTAAATTTTAAATTTTATTAGTTTTTTTTTTCTGTAATTGTCAATACAATTTAATTTGTTGGGTCAAAAAGTTTGAAAATTTAATACAAGGCTCCTGATATATATTTAAAATTTTAATTGAAAGATATTAAAAATACATAGGCACGTTTTTTTTTTATAAGCATTTAATGTTCAATCATTAACAAAATTCATATTATTCAAATTGTATAAATAATTGTATAATTAAATTTTTTTTAAATGTTCAAATTTTATAGCTAAAGGTTAAAAATTTAAAACAAAATTCCATGCAATTTGGTTCCTTTGTAACCAAAAAACCTCTGCATAATCATATTTAAAAAAATATTGTTTTGTTCAAGTGTGGACAAAATTACATATTAAATAATCAAGAATAATGATTTATGTTATTTTTATGTAAATTAAAATTATTATTTGTGTTTACTTGAAACTTTTAAAGTATTATTAAAGTTATTATATTTTATACACACAATGACTTTTAAAGTGTATTTTTTTTACCAAAAATGAATTTAATCTATTGCGTATTACTAATGCTTACTAGTAAAATAAATTACTTTAGTCAAAATAATATCATCAAATATACCAAATTACTAAGTAATATTATAGACTGATAGGCCGTCTTCGCTTAGAATCATTTATCGTATGCAATGATTTTATGTTATTGAATTCAAATTTAACTTCATCCATTATAATGACCCACTTGTAACCTACTGTAAGTAGTGCGACATCCACTTACTCACTTTTTTATGTTGATAATTATATTAAAATACTATTCTTATAGTTATTAGTAGGGTTCGGATTTTGTAGCGAAATAAATCCTCAAAAAAGCAATTTTAGTAGCCAAAAAAAGCAAAAAAGCATTTATTAATTTAATTCTAAAAAAACAAATTTCAATTACACATAAGATTAAATATTAAAAAAGGAATTCACGGCCATATATTTAGTCAAGTTACTATCATTAAAACTTATTCTATTGGGTGCTAATATATTTTTATATATAGAAAAAGACCTTTCCACGTCAACCGATGTAATCGGTGCATATTTCAAATAAACTAAATCATCTGAATCATACTGTTCCACATTTACGTTTAGTGCAGTGCCATTAAGATTACTATTGACTTTTTGAAGTTCTGCTCATCCATTATTCTTTGAAAAAACACGATTGCACTTTTCTAAAATCAATTTCGCTACTTCACCATTAGCTTCCTCTAACTTTTGTTTTGCTTCTAACACAATACATATACTTCTTGCCAAGTTTTGCCAAAAAAAAATTTATATATAAATACAGCAAATATTTGAAACAAAAATAAAAAATACCGCTTTTTTCTAATTGTGTAATTGCATGTGGTATAAATTCAAAATTCGTTGTAATGTAGACGAAATTTGAATGTAGAGATTGATCATTTATAAGCTCTTTTACAACATTCACACACTGGGCATTCTCGCTAAATTCTTCAACTACACTTTTTATTTCATTTAAATATGTGCAATAATATTCGGCTGCTGTAATCCATGTAACCCAACGAGTAGTGATTGGTTTAGGTGGATTTGGAATATCCAGACATTTTTTATTTGAAATAGCGATCCGTTTAGGACATTTCAGAAATGTTTTTTTCATCTTGGCAATCAGACGATCAACTTTTGGGAAATGTGCACGCACTTCTTCACACACACTATGGAGGGCATGAGCTAGGCATGTAACATGAAACGCTTTTGGATAGTGTTTGAATACAGCGGCCAGTTTTTTTCATATGCGGCGCAGCGCCGCGGCGTCCGAAACAAATAATAAATTGTTCTCATGATTAACATTATTTGGCCATAAAATATGCATAGATTTATCAAATAATTGAAAAATAGTACTTTGTCTAAATATTCTGTGTGAATAAGATAGGTTTTACCAACATCTTGTGGTTTCAAAATACCAATAATGACATTAGCTACATTACGTCGTACACTGTCAATTATTGTTTCATCTAAGCGAACACATATTTTTTGGCCGTTCACAGCATCGCGTATATTAGCTATCGTATAGTCTATACCAAGAATCGAAGTATCCATTTCGTAAAGTTTATTCATTTGGAATAATTTTATTGCAATATTTTGAAAGAAATGACCGAAAATGTTCGTTATTTAATTTGTTTAGGGGGATATTCGCCAGTCGCCACTACAAGTGCGGAACATAGGTCAGCATTAAAATCAGTCTTACAAAATTGTTGAATGAATGGCTGAACTGCATTATGTTTTGCAGCTTCAAGTTTTTTCAATGCTTCTTTGTGTTTTTCTCTGCATTGAATCATTATGATTATGTTGTTGAACGTTAACAAAATATAATATTTCCGTCAGTCATAAGCACATTTTCACCAAATTCTCTTACAATTTTTTTTAGTTTTAAATTTAAATTTTTAACTTTTGGCATTTTGACGATTCTAGAGAAATTATTTAGAACACTATACGTCTATAACTCATTGATTGTCAATTGAAATTTAACGGCTAACTAAAGTATTAGAACATGCTATAAAAATACACAGATATAGTTCAGATGATTTTCCCTTTCCTTGAGTCGTAAATACAACTATAGATATAATTGTATATAAAACTATTTCGGAACAATAACCATAGTTATTTTATCAGTCATACATTAATTACTGGGTTTTTCACCGGTTTTATTATTTCTGATTATAATAATAAAGTCCAGGTATAATAAACATAGAAATAAGTTAAATTTTCAAGAAAAATATGTAAAAATCAAGAAAAAATAACCAAACCGGGGAAAAAGCAATAAAAAGCAGGTTTTGTGGAAAAAAGCAAAAAAAAATACACAACAAAGTTTACTTCAATAAAATCTGAACGTTTCAAAACGTATTTATGTACAATTATCTTTCTATGACACTCTTCCCAAAAGAAGCATTTGCTACAAAATTCAAGCCCTAGTTATTAGGTATTATATGTTGTTTTTCATCATTAAAAATGGGGTAAGTACTGAGGTAACCGCTGTGCTGTGAAAGAGGAGTCAAGTGCCCATTGTTATTGAGTAGGTCACTGTAATGGATGTGTCAAATTTAAATTCAATGAGAAATCATTATATTCGAAAAATGATATTGAACAAAGACTACATTATCATCATAAAAATAAATTGTCATTTATTATGAACTATAAACATACAATAGCATAAAATGAATCTATAAATCTTTTGAAAATATCACTGTATATAGTAAAATGTATAATATACGTAAAAGTTTTAAGTCCCTGCCAATAATATTTTCGACTTAAGTACAGCTGTTAAATATATTTATGCGTATATGTGGCCTTACTCCCTGAAAACTGATGTGGATCGTACCACGCTTAACATGGTTGGTTAATAGTCCTTCAGCAATAAGTTTTGTTACCAAATTGTTAATTTAAAATTATTCTGAGTAAGGTGTAATAAAAATGGTTGGGTTTTTTAAAACCATCCACACAGTTTATAATACAACAATAAATTAACATCGTTAATCTGTGTTTAAATATCAAATTTCGTCCAAATCAGTACTTAATATAATATACACAAAGAAAACATTGAGTTCAAATATATTTTTTAATTTTTGTTTCAATATTAATTACTCACCTACAAGGAATCTTAAGTTAATTTTTCAAATCTTAGATAATTTAATAAATGTTTAACTACAAAATTATTTGTAAATAGTGATTTTAACGCATTTTGTCAACATTTGAACTTAAAATATAAATTTAAAAAAAGTTTCTTATTTGTAAATACCTAAAATGAAAACTTATTAGGAACCTTATATTACATTTTAAGCTTATTTAATTAGCAATCAATTTTTATCGACAATAACTGAAAAAACTCATCTTTTTAAATTGATTAAAAAATTAATGTGACTTTCTGGTAAACTTTTGGAAAAATGTTAGGGATTTTAAATGTTGTTCTTTTAAAAGTATTTACTTGATCCAATTCACAATCAGAAATCACCACTAAAGTGGAAAATCGAAGCATTTTTCTACTATAAATACACATAAATACACTGAAAAAATAAAAACCCATATCTTTGTAAAATTAATATTTTTATAGTTCCGCTCAGAATCTAAAATGTAAAACATTAATTTCGGTTGGCTCTAGTTTTACTGCAAGGTATTAAGACGATTCCAACTGCAACACCAAGTTTTACTAGTTTTATATTGATGGTTGAGGCTGAAGAGAGTCAGAATTATGACGACGAAAACAATGACTTTATAACTGGAAAATTTCAACTAACTGGTGACGTAAGAACAAAAATTAGCGAAGTCTGTCCAAATACAGTTACTCAGACCTCTTTGATTCCAAAATCAGAAGTACAAGTATTTTGGACAGCTCCATTATCTGGTAGCGGATGCGTTATATTTAGGTATGTTTAAAATTGTTAATTTTTGATATAATTACTGTAAATTATATTTCTCTAACTGAAGTTTGGTATTTCAAGCTCTTACGCATTTTTGAGTACATATTTTTGAGTACATATATTAGGTATAATATTATATATGCTATGTATAGCATTAATATATGTATATCATTATTACATTTTTGGATTAATTAGAGCTACCATTGTTGAATATCGTGATATATGGTATATGGACGACGACCAATTAAACAAAAGAATTTGTGAAGAAAGTAATGAAAGCAATGACGATAACGCTAATGTAGTCTACGAGTGCTGTGCGTGTCACGAAGCTAAGTTTGAGGTTTGTATATTTTATAAGATTAGTTTAAAATTAAATTCATAGTATCTAGGTAGCTAGTAGGTATTTGTTTGGTTATTGTATGAACTTGTAAATTATGAGAAATGCAATAAAATTATTTTGAAAGTTTCATACGACATTTTGTAGTTAACTTTTGAAGGACTATGGTCAAGACATACCCACCCAAAAGATTACCCGGATGACAATTGGCAGACTCGATTTAGTGATGTTATTGGCGCTTCACATACAATTGATTATCGGTATATTGATGATAAACAATATATACTTATATGTTTAATATTATGTATAATATTATGTGATTACCAAGTTAAGTTTTTTATAATTTTCAAGATTTTGGGAACAAGATCAAGTAGCTTCCGACGGAATGAATAGTATAGCACAAAGTGGAACTACTTCGACTTTGGAATCCGAACTTAAATCTAAAGTAATAAGAAAATATTACAACCGTCTGAGCTTACTTAAAATGATTTAATATTTTATTATAGAGCGATAAAATTCGTACTATAATTAAAGCCAGAGGCATTAGCTATCCAAATGTGACTGGAAAGACATTTGCTGTATTTCGAGTGGATCAAGATCATCATTTGATTTCAGTTGTGTCATTCATGTGTAAGAAACTAAATAATTTGTAAAAATTTTTAAATTACTTATGGTAACATTTTAAGATTCTTTTAATTTAAAACTAGATCCATCGCCGGATTGGTTTGTTGGAATTTCGGGGTTGGAACTGTGTTTGCCAAACTGTAATTGGATTACGAATAAAACCATCAACTTGTACCCATGGGACGCTGGAATTGATAGCGGAGTCACATACAATGTATTGTGTTCTAGTAATTTTAATCACATATTATATAATAAACCATAATACCATCTTTTGTAATACATATTACAAATTACAATTTTGCAATTGTTTACTTTAATATTTAAAGATAGGTAAATTAAATAATTGATTATACTAATAAATTGAGAGTTGGTTTAATATCTGATCTTATTAATGCAAAATGTACTAGTATCACTATACTTACTACGGATTCTGGCCTGATTAATGGGAATAGAACTCACGCAAGTCGTGGGTATTAGAAACTAGGACTTAGGAGCTTAAGTGACTCCAATAATAAATATTTTAAGATATTTAAAAGGGCCATTATAAAGTTCCACCATCGTATCTGATAGACTCTTAATCCGGATTTGCTACTAACCAATTTTTGTTACTAAAAACATAGAAATTAGATAACTTTCAATCTTTCTTTGATTTTTTTTCAATTGTTGTAAAAAAATATTTTTTCCTACTAAAAAACATGAGAATTTTATAAAAAGTTTCTTAAACAATGTTATAAGAAAAGTTTTAAAAAAATAAGCAAAAATCCAGAATAAATTTGTATGACCCTCTGAGGTAGGAACTTAAATGAAATTCGGTAACATTCCTAAAATTTGCAAATTATTTTTAATTAGAAATGTCTAAAAAAAAATGTTTTCATACCTAAGGAAAGAAAATTGAACACAAGATTCGTTATATGGTTTTCTACACATTATGATAATTATAAAAGTTTACCGGAAAGTCAAGATAGTTTTTTATTCTATACTATATTTTCACCAGTTTATATTATCATTTTCTGTACATAGCACAATTTACTATTAAAACCGATAAAAAAAATTTTGTTTTGGTTAAAAAACTTGGAAATTTAATATAAGGTTCCTCGTAAGTAGTAAATACTAAAAAATTAAAAATTCTTAAAAATGTATATGCATAATATATTTTTATAGACATCTGTAGTTCAAATTTGGAAGAAATTACATACTTAAACGATGAATAACGAAATTAGTTGCTATTTTGTTATAATTCAAAAACATTATTAGCTGGGACTTATAATTTTTACTTAAGAATTAAAATTTAACACATTGATAACAGTGGCTCACTCGACGTCTACTGGCTACTGTATACTGTGTACCCACGGGTCCACTTTTTTGTATATTTTATGTCGATTATAAGTAAAACTAATTAAGGACACATATGGTTTTATGTTGTTCTGTCGTTATTGACTTTGTTTTATAATTTATCTTTTTAAATTTCATAGTTTAGAAATAATATAAACATTTTTATAGTTATCGCTGTTATTTATAAATGGTATTTAAAATATATTTTTAAAATATGTTTAATATGATTTCAGTCATCCGATATGCCTCAAGTACCAATAATGAATATAGAGAGAGTTTGGCCATCAAATACCAATGATGTACGTTCTCCGTTTTATGACCAATCGGGTGCACAAATGAAGCCTATTGCAAAACTTCATCTTATGAGACAACGTCTTTATGAGAAAAGTTGTTCGGAAGAAGAGCCTAAAACCGAATCAACAGGTCTGTTGTTTAGATTTTTCTTTTCGTTTACGTGACGTTTGAATCAACGAACTGATTTATTTGTTCTATACACTATAAGTTTGTGATACTGGTCCGTGGTCAGATTGGGACGAGTGTTCAGTGACTTGTGGTAAAGGTTACAGTAATAGGTATAGGCAATATAAGAATCCAGAAGACGCACATAAACCTCACTGTAGTAAACGGTCGATGTCACAACGTAAAGGATGTTATGTGCTTCCTTCGTGCGCGTAAGTTAAAATTAATTTAATAATTAATAATTAAATAATTAATAAATTTCGAAAATTCAGAACTTTATGATATCTTTAGAAGTTGACATTAATAAATTAATCAATATGATTTATTTTTAGAATTGAGAGCGAGGAGACTGATACGATTGATCCAAAATGTGATGTAACTGCTTTCGGTCAGTGGTCGGATTGTTCTGCAGAGTGTGGACCTGGTGTAACTGCAAGATTTCGGACAATTTTAAACGAAGAAGTGACACCAAAATACTGTTTAGGTAGAATGTTTTTACAACAAACTATGCAATGCGAATCAAAACCTTGCCAAGACGAACGAGATAACGTGGTTAGGACACAATTATCAGTATTATATTATATAATTTATGAATAATAAATTTCTGAAGCATTAATGAAATCTTAGGACTTGGGTATAATATGCAGTAATTGTTCGCTAACTAAGTGGTCGTTGTGGTCGCCTTGCAACATGAAATGTGGAACGGGTCAGAAGGAGAGGCATAGGATGAATTTAGACAGATCTGGAGTGACAGAAAATTGTGACTCTCGTTGTTATACACAGACAATAAACTGTACAGATAATCCTCCATGTGAAAATAATATGCGAATGGGTAAGATATATTGATTTTAATAATTCATTCCAAATTCACAAATTTTTTAAATGACAAAAATGAAAATGTTTTAATATAATTTTACATGCTGCATATATTAGAGGATATTTTATTATTTGGAAACAGTTTTATGTTAAAAAAATATAATGTAACGGTACAACGCTCCCTTATTTATAATATTAATCAAAAGACAAATAGGTTATGTAATACTTCCATCGTCAATCGTATGTTTAAAAATTTATATCTTTTTTAATTATTTAAAAAGATAATAATGTTTTCGACATCTACGTTTTATACAAAGTGTTTTTATTTTTATTTAGAAACAACCATATCACCAAGTTCTGAAAATACACCAGTAACATCTGTTACTATAAATCCAGACGATGTAAGTATAAACAAACTAAATAGTAAGTTATTTTTGGTGAAACTAAAATGCACATACCAAATAGTGAGTATAAACCAGTCTAAATTATAAACAGTTTTGAAAAGAAGTGTAACTTACCAGATTGGCCCAAACCAAAGTCCTCGAATTAATTTGTTTGATTAATGTAAAAGAAACATTTAAATAACTACCATCAAAGTACCAAATAAGTTGAAACACAACAGCTTTTTCATATTAAATAAACAAAATAATTTATTCAAATCTTTTTCAAATTTAATTTTTTTGTTATTTGTTAATTATTGTTAAATGATTTTATTACATAATTTTTTAGGACAACTTAAAATAGGTAGACTTTTATAATAAATTACTACTCTACCTCATTTCTACATCGTTAAATATGTTTTTGTACTGTTTAGATTTCAGAGGATTCGACAGAAAAATGTTTTTTGTCAAATTGGAGTAAATTTTCGAGTTGTAATGCTATTTGTGGTCCTGGTTTCAAAGAGCGTACACGTACCATACTAGTTAGTTATTTTATTACTTAATAACAGAAGTTAACCTTGTATAAATATTCTATATTTTAGTCCCCAACAGATCCACTGGAACAAAAGAAATGTAGGAAAAAACTAGTTGATCGTCGAAATTGTCGAGGAAGACAATGTAGCAGTAAGTTCAAAATGCAACAAGATATTTTATTTAATATTATTACAAAAATAAAATAATAATATGATTTACAGAATTAATTACACAATAGCACATTTTATTGTTAGATAATAATATTATTTATTTCAAAAAAAGGTAGTTATTTTGTGTTTTTATTACACAGTTAATTCCATTAATGCAGAATGTTGAAACTGTGGAATTACTAAACAAATTACGAGTATCTAAGGCAGAATTAAGCTTAAAAAAAAACGATTCCAAAATAATTACATTTATTAGCAATATTGTAAAATAAATTACCTAATATCTAAAAATGCATAATGCCGAATATTAACAAAATACTTGCTGTTACTTATTTAATAGTATAAATTATATAATAAATAATATAAGTTAATCTATGTTTATTTTTTGTTTTTGCATTACATAGCATAACCCATTAGATTTGTTAAGCACGTAAGCATAAATTAATATTAAATATAAGGTGTACAACTCCACAACAAAATAATATTGGCCAACATAGTTAAATAAAATAATAAATGTAGCACCTAATAATGTTCATAATATATGACTAAAATCAAGTTTAAATAACTAGGATATAATATTTTGAAATGATTCCAAGTAAAGAAATGTTAAAATAATATTTGATGAATAATCGAAGTCTCTAAAAAAAATATTAATTTATGAATTTAAAAAATATATATAAATAAAATCGAAATTTCCAAAAACTTGTTTTTAGGTAAAAATGTATGTTTTTCCAACCTATTTTATTTTTTCATTACTTGTAATTTTTACTTTTGACCCTTCAAACTTCAAAGTTCCAATTAAACCTAAATTCCTACCAAAAATGATACTCAATGTAAAATCAATACATTGATCTCACTGCTATGCAGAATCTTCAACTATTACTAACAATAATTGTTACATTTTAATAGCTCTTAGAAATAATTGTTATGGTCTTAATAATAAAAGAGATCTACATAATTAATTATTTATATATGAACGATACTCGCGATTGGAGTTGTGCACGTCACGTTTAATTAAAATATTTGAAATAATTCCAATTATTGTGGTGGTTAATATTATTTTATACATTAATACCTAATTTTTATAGGATGTAATTATTCGCCATGGTCGGAGTGGTCATTATGTTCAGCACTATGTGGTATGAATGCAGTACAACAACGTACGAGAGTTCCAGAAAATGTTACATGGACTTGGTGTAAAGATAGATTAGAACAGCGTATTTGTTCAGCTTTAGCATGTAAAACCGATTAGAAACCAACTTTATTTAGAAATGTTGAATTAAAATTTATTACTACCGATAAATTAAATGACGTTATTAATTTGTTTTAAAGACAAAATTATGTTCTTCTCAAAATAATAGGATACTATTTAGTGATTTCATGACATAATTATATTACCAATATCAATCAAAAAGAATCTCCAAATAATTCAAAAGGAATTCTAAAATATTATATAAACTTATTTGTTTACTTATCTATATAATTTACAATCTTTTAAAAATATTTGACTTTATGAGAACGAAGTTTTTTGTATTAAATCTATGTATAATTGTGTTGTTCCTATTATTAATAGGACATATTAATTTATAGTTTAATAATTATTTCAAGAATAGGTACGATTTTTAATAAATAATATAATATTATCTCAAATCAGTAGTTTTTTTTTTTATAGATCATAATATAATTATAGTGAATGATTTATTTTTAAAATCACAAAAAAATCAGTTTCTAAAAAGTAAAATGTACGTTCACATACATTAAATAAAAATAATAGCAGTTTAAAAAAAATTCATCAACACTAAATATTAACCACTACCACATTTAAATGTATTAGTTGTGATAAATGATAAATACAATATATTTGAATTATAAAATATTATGTATTAAAAATTATATTCAAATAAAGTTTCTTATCCTTATACCTTCTTCTTTGTATATATCAAAATAATTGTGCGTATGCATCCGGTAATTCTGGAAACTATTGAACCAATAGACACAACATTTTGCGCACATATTCTTATTGAGACTGGTTGATCACTCGTTTAGTCGTTTATAGCTTCATTTTTCAACCTATGTTGCTTTTGGATATTTCTGTGGGCTGTGGCTCACACAGTCAAGCAGGATTTTTGTTTTGGCTCAAGAAAATCTTATATTTTTGATTTTATTACAGCATTGCCATTGGCTACCGAAATAAAATATATTTTTATATGATCTATGTAGGTAGTACCTATACTTATATACAAAGTAATGTATGCTTGTAGCGTATAAACTCAAGAACTACTTAACCGATTTTAACCAAAATATCAAAATCTGTTCTTGGTGACATCAGACAAGTGTAGATAGTAAAGTTTCAATCTCGTCCAAATTAACAGGCAGAATACTCATCTCTGTAAAATTAGTTCACAAGTGAGGTGCGTCGGCGTCGATTTGCCAGTGAACTGAGACAAGCCTATACAGCGCCATATTTTGTCTTTGATCATTTTTTCCGGACGAAGTTGGGTTATACAGCTGGTTATTATTAGATATTATAAAATAAAAACAACATTCATCTGACTACAGGTTTTAGTTTTATTGATTTGATTACCTATTAACTAAATAAAATTCAAAATGAAATAAATAATAACTAGTATTATATCCAAGGTAACAGCACGTAAATATTGTTTGTTCTTACTATAAACAGCTTCACGACCCAATCTTTCCTGTTAATACAATATAATATTACAATTTAAGTATTTCTGTTCTTACTCCAAGTTAAATCTGTGCAATATGCATTAATTATGCTTATGTTTAATTTATAAGAACAATAAGCTATTTATTAAAAATGTCTGATTTGGAAATTGTAAAGTCGATATCAGACGCAGAGAAAATATCGTCAAAAGAGATTAAAGAGAGCGTGCAAACAATCGAAAAAATAAATAATCATGATAGATCTAAAGTATCATCTCAATCGACCCAATTCAAATCATTATTTACGTGTAACGGACCAAGAATGAAAGACCTTCGATATGATATTAATATTGACTATGCGATTGGGCTATTAAAAAGAGAAGATGAAAATGTTAATGTGTAAGTATTTAAGGTTTATTTGCATAATAATCTGCAGATATCGTTAATTCGTTAATACCTACTGATCATTAATTACTAAATTATAAGTGGTATTCTTAGTTATTAATTGACGACACGCATAATAAATAGTTAATTAACTGTATCAATGAATTTAAATATTAAACTGTTTACGCCTAATTATAACACCAAGAAAAGTTAAATAAAGAGTAAAAAATATTTGAAAATGACTTGAAACAGTACTTTTGTTTATATTTGTCACAACTATTGGTGTGTCGTTTGAAAACAAATTGAAGACAATTTTAATTTTAGAAATAGCGAAATGTTTCAGGTTTCTACCAATTAGTACTCATTGAATTGCATTAAAAAAAAACTAAAATCGTTTGATGAGAAATAGTGATTTTACTCGTTAAGAGTTCATCGACATTTTAAATTAACATGCTCAACGAAAATATTTGTGTAATTAGATTTATCGTTTTATAGTTCTAGTACCTGAGTAAAACTTATGTGGAACCTTTTATTAAAATTTCAAACTTAAGCCTTAAGGAAGGTATGTTTATTAAACATTTTATCAATTTTACGTTACAAAATAATTTGAATATTTTAGTGATTTTGATGAATTCTGTAAATATTTGAACTTAAAACGTTTATAAAAAAATATTTTGGAGATAATATATTTTCAATATTTTTATTGTGATTACAATAATAAATTTAATCTAGTAAAAATAAACCAAAATAAATTAATTTTAAGACTATTAATGAAAAAAATATGCATACACTCTTAACATTGGAATAATTTAAAAAAACAACTGGAATAAGAATAATATTTTAAAACCTTTAATTTTATGTAACATGTTATATTTGCAGCAAAGTATGTACACAATATTTTTTAATCATAGTCATTTAAAACGTTATTCTCATTATTCATTCTGCCAATGTCTCCCCTACATATTTTATAATTGCTCAGTTTTGCCGCTCTATTTCATACAATGGTTATTAGTATTACAGATTTTACATAATTATTTTATTTTAAAGTATAATATGCTAATTAAATTTCTACAGATACATAATGTACTTTTTAGGTATAATCATTTACAAGACATTTTAGATAAGATATTATTGGAAAGACCTAAAAATCCTCTAGAGAAATTTGAAAAATATAGCGTGATGTTAAAGCGTGCATATATTCATAAAGAAGTTAATTTTGAACGCGTCTTTGTGGATAACATAGACCGAAATTATTGCTTTAAGAGTTTACAAATGTATAAGGTAAATTAAAGTTATTTGCAACAATGATAAGCACTTTTATTCAGCAGATACACTTCTATAATAGGTTTATTTTGTTAGTATAACAATTAATAATGTTCTCAATTAAATATATATAAATATTGTTTAATGAATTTCAATAATGCAATCATCATTACACGCCATGGTGAATAGGAAATTGCCTAACATCATCGTTCGGCGTCTTTTCATAATATTTATATGTATTTTTTAATTTGATTCAAACAATAAAGTAATGATCACGTGCAAATATGGCACATAGGTAACTTGTAATCTTACAGAATACGTATAACGACTTCTAAAATTTTTGTGACTTGTGGCATGTTGTTTTTTTGTGGGGGTTAAGAATATTTTAAGTAAAATAAATTTCTTCTGTCAAACGATGAAATTAGCACTAAGATTGACTCGTCATATTTTGAAATAATTTATAAAGACATTTTACAGGTTTAAGTATTCTTAACAACTATTGATATCATATTAGTGCATATTTTCACACACATATTGTCCTCCCATTTTTTTTTTGTGTATGACTTATCACTTATGTATGCAATTTGGTGCAATTAACTCGGGTAATATAAAATTGTCATAAAATCAGGGATTACCCTTAATATATATTATTTAAATGCATTTCTGTAGAAAAATTAGTTATAAATTAATAAAGTATTTTATTATAACGTTCAAATTAAGGAACGGGTTGGACGGGTAAGAAACACGAATCAATTAAATATTAAATGTTACATCATAATAAAGCTCACGTTTTTATTATAATATAAACAGAACCTTAATAAATTACATTTACTTGTTTACAGTACAATAATTAGTACCTATTAATATTCGGGGGATGTAAGTATTATTATTATTATTATTGCTTGTAAGTGAGCGTAGTTAATGTGGTGTAAAGTATATGTATGTTATAGTATATTATTATTTATATGATCTATATCGTATCTCCGTTTGGGTATATAGTCATATAGATTACATTATAGGCAAATTATCAATTCGTACTATTTAGGGCACAGTTGTTTTGAAATTCGTGTTTTTAGTGTGCATTGAAAAAACAACTTGAACAACAAAAACAATATAACAAGAACAAACAAAATATTACAAAGTCAGAACTGGATCAATATGAAGAGAAGACAACTATGAATAATAATAATAATACTGTACAAGTTCAGAATCTTTGTGAAGTAAATTATATGTTTAATAAAGCTGGTTTTGGACTTCCAATGGATGAAGCATCGTTAATATACCTAACCATGAAAGAAATGGCTCAGTTAAATAAATTTGAAAGCATACGGTATGGTTATTTACATATAACTAAACTAAAAATATGAAATCAATTAATAGCAGACTATATAATCCAAATTATTTGTAGATTTTGGGGAAAAATATTTGGTATAAAAAAAATGTATTATGTAATAGAATGTAAATGGTCAGACCCAGAATTAGAGCGTAAACTATTGGTAAAAATCTCAGCTTCACCTTTTGGGTACCTATACATTATATTTGTGAAATTTTTTGTTGATGGGTATTTAGACTGCAAACAGTGAAAGCCATAACTCAAAATTATCAACACAAATAGAAAATGATGTCACTTCCGATCATTTGCTTCAACAAGAAACTAAATCAATAGAATATACACATAATGCTCCAGAAACAGAAAATGAATTTGAATCTACTGTACCATATCTTGATGGTGAAATGTCTGAAAATTCAATGAATCATTACGATTCATGGATTTCTCTAAATGATATTGACAGTTGCACAGCAAAACTGAGATCCTCGTCAAAAACCCTGTTACCATCAGAAATGTTCGGAGTCGGTGCAAATATAAATGTAAATTTATTTGATACAATACTTAACTAACAATATTTATTTTACAAGTATAAAATGTGTAGGCATATTTTGTCACAAATAAATTAAATACCAAATGGATTGAACTAGAATCGGTCAAGCCACATCATATAGTTGAAGCTAGAAAAATAAAACGATATTTCACCGGGGAATTAAAAAATCCGGTCAGCATACCTATAGGTATACATTTAATTATTATTAATTAATTATTTTGTATTGTTTATTCAACATAGATAAACAGTTTTTCAAAGTTCAATGGTTCAGAAAATGACTATCTTAGAGCTCAAATTGCACGAATATCATCGAGCACTCAAATATGTCCACGCGGGTATTATATTATAAATGAAAACGATGAATCTTGGAGCAGAATATCTGACAAAAGATCCACAAATTCATTAATTTCTAGAAAAAAAAGTTGGAGTAAATTATATTTAATATTATAGTTTAGTTATTTTTATTCGGTGCCTATCTTTGAGAGATAATTCAATTGTCTTAAATGGTTCTTTTTCAACAAATAATTAAAAAACCATGATATAACGTAATTTGTTCAATAATTGAAAATAGTAAAGGTAAAAACTAAAAACTTACAAAAATTCTGTTATGCCACTACATTCTTATTAATAATACCAGGTACTTACAGGGTATATTTTATTCTTTCAAATATTATGTTATTCATAATATTTCACATTAATGTTATAGCTTATTAGATAACACCATTACACATACTTCACTAGTTTAAGCTTAAAATTAATTTTATAACGACATTTGATCGTTATTTACCTACTAATAATATTGCATGTAATTATTTTAATTTTGGTAAATGTATATTGTAAATTGAATATTACGTATCTATACATATATAAGAAAAATGATGATAAACGCAAAAATAGAACCAAATAATTTAAAAACTACTAGACTTAACATGCATTGTATTTATAAAAAAAAACCTAGGTACTAAACAAATATTAGATACTTGAAGTTCAAGTCATTGAATGCAAGAATCGTTAATATAAAAATATAATACCTAGGTAATACATTTTTGAATGTATAATTATAATAAAATTATTCTTAAATAATAAACAATACAATTTTTAACTTAAATGTTTTATTGGTATCTATATATAAAGACTTAAAAAAATGTATCGTAAATGCTATATTATATGTATACAAAATGCCAAAATACAATGTATAGGTACACATATTAATTAGGTATGTACATTTTTTTAAATATGAACTTGTTTTCATGTTTGATTTCAGAAAATGGTGACCTTATTCTCAACAAAAATACCAAACCAATTTCTAATAATAATTTAATGAATGCAAATAATTGGGTGCATAAGAATCCTCACATAGACCTTAATGGAGTTACCTACAAATTAGGTTTATCTAATCTGTCCAATTCAAGAAAACACGAAGAAAAAATTGAAGAACTTGAAGAAGAGGAAAATTTGAGTTATGGTGATAATGTATTAGCTTCTAAGGATGATTTGTTTGGAAACGTAGGAAATGATATCTCTGTTGACAATACATTAGCGTGGAAAGGTGTTCTTTGCTCTCCGTTTGATCCTCGTTACTCTAACACAATAATGAAATCGCATATATGGCCTGGAGCTTTTGCAGTTGCGTATAATCTGTATGTAACATTGAAAACTTATCCAAAATATAATTACGAATAAGTTAAAGTTTGAAAATTACTAATTTTCTTAAAATAAGTGTGTCTAGGAGATTTTAGTCTTATTTTTAAGAATTTAACTAATTAATAATTATTAATTTATTATACCAGTTTAACATAGTATAATGTTACAATTTTATGACGTTTATTGTCTAAAATGGAATAACAATAATAATTACTGACAAAAAATAAATTTATTTGGTGTATATAAGTACTTACATTTAAAAAAAGTTATGCACTGTTGGATGAATTTTCGTTCAAAATGTTTACATGGTAGTTCGTAGTTATAATGATTATTATGGTAGAAAAAAGGTTAAAAAGTTTCATCCAGTACCTCAGTGATTTGAAAATACTTTCTGTAGTAATACCACTAATATGACATTTAAGATTAAAAGGGGATAGAAGCACACGTATTTTGCATACGTCTTAGACCAACAAACGGTGGTAAATTACACATACCTTGAAATGTCCGATTTTAATTTTTAGTATATGTATGAATTATTTGACAAAATATCTAGGCTTTTTAGGAAGTAATTTTCAATTTTAAAAAACCTTAAATTAAGATAATATTTTCAAAAATCGCATGAAGTAATTGCATTACTTTTGTATTTATTTTGGGTACAATTATAAAGGTGATTTATAAGAAGCATAATCTAGAAGTTTACAAATTCAACGTTTTTTCGAAATTGCAATCGAACTTCAGGGGGTATGTTTAATTTACTATGATTTTTGTATTTTTATAGTTATGCAAACAAGAATATATTTAATTATTCGAGATATGTTGATATGAGGTGCGTGCGTTTGCAAGAGTTGCATCCGTCTGAGGTAGCCAATCTTGGCGCGACAACGATTTTCGAAACACCCTAATGTTTGTTTACTATTTACACACATAGACATAGCCTAAACGTCCTTGTCATTTGAATCACCTAAATAATATTACTTAAAACATGATACGCCCCAGGCCCCTGAATTCTTAATTCCTAGTTGGTACCAACCTAGTTAATATACTTGAGCATAGGCACAAATTGAGTTTTAAATTTGTGGGACTATACATTTATTGAAGCATTAAAAATATACTATACAAATATTATTAATTTAAATATTTTATTTTTAAACATAATTAATAAGTATAGATGTAATGATAATATTTAATATTTACGTGGTAGAGTATTCGTTGTATTAATATTTTACTAATTTCACCACAACAAAATTAAGAAAATTAATATAAATTGAAAAAAATAATTGAATTTGTTTATGGAAGTCAGAAATTTTCAATTTAGAAATTTTTCAAATAGGTAGATTATTATAAATGTGATGGTATGTGTCCAATATTTGTGATGATCCAATGCAAACCCATTTAACTATTGCTTTAGATGTCAAGCAATAATAATATGTTTTTAATGTCTAATTATTATTCTAAAGCCCGTTTGAATGTTGGAGGCTATAAAGTTATGTTGTTATATCATTAAGTTATCGTTCAAATAATGTTCACTTTAACCGTTAAGTAATAATTGCAGTTATTAAATATTAAAGATATAATATTTGATAAGAGACAATTCTAACCGTGTATAATAAAACTGTTAACAGCCAAACTGACTATATGTATATTGGATGGGGTCAAAAGCATGATTCTAATATTTTGTATTCAACTTTTATGGATGAAATTAAAATGGAAAATACAACTGAAGACGATACCTTTACGGTGGAGTGTCAAGAATTCACTAAGAAACAGAAAATGGAGATGGAAAAACAGAACTTACAAAAAAATAAGAGGAAAAACATTTTTCCACGACGATTTAACCGTACAGCATACAAAGGAGGCGAAAAAATTATTACATATTATACTTACGAGTGATTAGCAGAATGTTCAATCATACAGTGTTAATAAAAAATATCATACAAATAAAATATCAAATGAATTATAATTTTTATTTTTGCTGTAATTTGGATACCATGGTAAAGTAAGTAAATAATTTTTAACAATTAGGTTGATTTCAACTTTCAATAAATTTAAGCTTAATCATCAGATCACCTAAAACTATAGGCAAATATTGAAAAAAAAAAATCTAGGTTTAAAAAAAATCATTATTTAACTTGGATACTTAACAACGTTTCTTAATAACATTTTTAAATTGCAATAATTTACACGCTCATATGACCTACATAAAAATTAAAATATCATAAAACAGCCCATGTAGGTTACAGGTTATGTCCTTAACTTAAAGTTTGATAATAGATTAAAAAATTCGAAAATAACCATTTTTACAGTTATGTATTTATAATATGAAGACAAAACAATCATGAAATCTGTTGAACTTTTAATGAATAAAAGCAACTTATATTATAAAAAAAATACAGCATAATATTATAAAATTGCGTGCTTTCAATTTTTCTCACTTTAATAATCAATGTGGATCCAATAGGTATAATAAACAATTAATGAATATAGTGCTCGTCGGAATCGGGAATTGTGTGTAATATTTTTTATATTTTTTTATAATATTGTTCGATCATATATCCACCATCAACTGCTATGAACAAGTCAATTGCATAGGGCCATGATTTTTATATCAAAATTAGAGCTATAATTAAAAAATGTAATATGTTGATTTGGTAACATAATTTTTATTTTACTAGTGATTTGTCTTATTTTTCACTTTGTTTGATCTAATTAGAACATTCACTATTCACCATTCGATACATATAAGTTACTTCTTCTTTGATTACTATGATTAATGAACAATATGCTGATAAAAGTACTCGGGGGAATCCTTTAATAGATTTTTTTTAATAAAGTATATTAAACATAAATAGGTTTTATAATTTTGTTATAATGTGATAAGGTATAGCTGTTAAATAACCTTAACAACCCATTTATTATAGGGAATTTGTGTAATTTTATAAAACAGCTCGTCAGCTCATATGTACACAGGTGCAAGTGCCGTAACTAGGCCTTTGAAATTAGGGTGTCTTATGTTTATATGTTTAATGACCTTTTTTCATATATAGGATAGATTGTTTTTCATCGAACAAGCGACCCCATTACAACATGTAAGTTACAGCTCTCCACTTAAAATACTATCTAGCTGTTGCCGATTGAAAAAAAGTAAAAATTAGACTTTATTGACTGCCGTTAACGATACTAATTGTATTGTTACTTATTTTTTAATCATATAATTATATATTAATTTAAATTTAAAATAGTAAGGTAAGGTGGCGTGAATAGAAACAACGCATTTTAACTTAACAGTATAATAAAAACTATTCCACCATTTGGGATACATAGTTGAACAATAAAAAAAATACAGGTTTCTTTAAATACTTCGAAAAATAATTTTTATTTCAATAGATGATTTTGTACAGTGTCATATATTTTTTCTAATATAAATTTACATATATTTTTCTATTTTACCAACTTAATGATGAATAGAAACAAATGTTAATATTTTTTAAATATAGTTGACAAAACTCTCTTCTAGATCCTTTTTATTTTTAACAAAGATATAAGAAGCACAACAAAACAATATATAATGTTTAAGGCTACTAAATAATTAAAGGAAACAAATTAGGTACCCATATAATGCTGTACAGTCATTATAATGATCTATTCTCTCTATGATACCTGGCGCTTCCAGGTATATTATATAATATAAATATGTGTTATATTCCGTAAATGCATAGACATTCATGGGGATTATATTTTTAACTGAGTACGGAATGGGTAACAAAATAACGGCAACGGAGATTATTGAAAAAAGAAAATTGTTATTTACCATCAATTGACGATCATTTAACTTTAAAATAACTGTCAAAATACAAGTACATTGGTCGACGTATAGGATTATTACAAATTATAATAGATTAACATCGATCAAATTAAGTTTTTTTCATGTATAGCTTCAGACCCTTTTTCTTCGTACATTTCTTTGCTGATCCACATTTGCTGATAGCTAGGCATCGAAGCTAATACGGCACCACCGAGCCATGTAGAAAATTTACGTTCGGGATCCGCTTTAATTTGTATGCTATTAGGAGATGTGCCTAAATCAGCTAACATTTTCTCCAAACGAATGGGCAGAAATTGAAACATCGTACTACCACCAGCCAATATGATGTTGTTGTACATATTTTTTTGTTCTTTATAATCGCAAGCACTGCATGCTCTTTGTATCAAGTTGTGGATACCTCCTAGCTTTGATTCGATGTTGAACAAAAGAGGATCAAACAAGATTTCAGGTGATTGAAAGCTATAATAAGTTATACTCAAATAAGTAACTGATGATTATATTATTCTTATAATTTAACATACCTATTGTATATTTATTATAAACTAGGTAGATACCTAAATCATAGATTTCAATAATATATAAATGTACCCATAATAGATGTACTGTGTAATTAATAAATCTTATAATAATCGTAGGTATTATCTAGCAAACTGAAAATATATATTATACATTTATAAATACACCATAAATATAATAATAACATTATACTTTTGTGTTTACCTTTTCTTTTGTCCCATAAACAATTTGATATTTATACAATTTTAACCCTTAGTGCCCATTTTTATTGAATAAAATACTAACGATTCGCTTTCGACATTGATCACCATTCCGTCTGGCAATGTATATTGTTTTTCCTTTTCTTCAGTGTACATATCTTTTTCAAATTGGAAGTTCAAAGCAAAATAACACAATTGTTCTTTAATATTATTTATAGTTTCGAAATCTTTCGAAGAGGTAAAACTGTATCCACGTTTATTTAATAACTCCATCAAATATTGTGTTATATGCCATCCGCCAACAGACATTGTTTGTACAGCATGATGCAATGGATATCCTTCGAAAATAGGCATAACTTGTGTGTAGTCGTATCCAGAATCTACCACCAAACCAGTAGTTCTACCACTACTATATAAAGCAAGAACTGACTTGGGTATCACTGCTGTCTTTGGTACGTTGAATAATTCAAACATAATCTAATTATGTAAAACAAATAAGTGAAAATTTTTTTTCCCAAGTATATCGAGATATTATTTTTTTTTGGTAGGAAATGGTTTTATTATTTTTATCGCCCATGAAAAATAGCAAAATATAAGATTTTTTTTGGAAATTTTATATTATCTTTAATGGATAAAACTTAAGAGTATCTCAAACTATATATATTTTTTTTAAGAATCAAAATTTAACTGAGATAATATCGTAAGCTGGAGTACCCTTGTAACATAATAAAATAATATAGGTAGTTAGTTTTAGGTATTTATAAAATCATTAACCTCAAACATTTTTTCACGTGACGACTTTGAATTCATATCTGCTTCTGTATGTAAAATGTTGTAATTTTCTGGTGGTACCAACAAGTCTTCGAAATACATGTGGTACCAGATTTTTTCCATAGCATCCCAGTCAGAAATGATGCTATTACGTATTGGACAAATCGTATCCAAAATGTCCATATTTCTTATAGCAGACTCACCTGGAAATACAAGATTTTCTCCATATTCTGGTATGGTACTTATCTGAAAAGAACAATAATTAAATATTAAATAATTAAATATGATTAAATAATTTAAATATAAAAGCAAGGTATTCATTGCTAATTTAAAATTAAACATCTATGACACATTCATTTATACTAATAATTATTATTTTCGTTTTAAATACTTGTATTAGAATTCAAACAATTTATAAAGTTTAAAGTAAAAAGTATGTGAACATTTTCTGATCAATCTTGGCAATGCGAAAGTAATAGTTTTAAAAGTCTACGCAATATTTTATGACGCGGCGCCGGGACAAAATATTCTCTACCCAGAATCATGTGGGCAATGTGAACTGAATACAATTATTATTAAAAAATAACAGTGGGTGTCACACGTGAATACGTGATACTTGTTAATATGTTATTTATGTATAATTCAAGTCTTAAACTAAACTTATCTTACAATTATTTTTCAATATCTATTTTAGGACTACAAAATGATCTTAAGCCACTAATCACCAAACTTGCATTCCAAAATGTCTCTGGAAATTGGAAACACATAATAAATGTATTTAAAGGCGATAGTAATGTTCTACCTAGTTCATTTTTTAGAATAATACACATAAATAATATGTGCTATATATGTATATAAAATATATCGAATTACAAAAACATTGCATACTTTTTCATGTTTAGGTTTTCCAACGATAGTTGGAATTATTGATCGTGGAAAATTGTCATTGGAGAACCCAGCTTTCAATGAATGAGAACCATTATCACATACTATTGCGACTTGATTAGATTGAAAATCATCTACAATTTATAATTAAAAATAATTCTTAGCTAACATAAATACCATATCATTAATATTAATATTTTGTACATAATAGTGAATACTGTAACAGTCATCTCATAATACGATATCGTGAATAAGTTATGAATAAAATTCAAAATCAAATTATGCACGTGTGTACAATAGAAATAATGGTACCTACTAAAATCTTTACTAAAATATATTTGTATTACAAATTAAGTATCTACTCGAGAAATGAAGTACTGGTAGACAGTATAAGACACAGCTAGTGGTACCTACTTTAGGTATACGTAAGTGTTTAAAGAAAAAAAATATTTTCATATTATTCTTTGTGAACAGTTTTTAGAAAACAACTTACCTGAAGAACATTTAGCGAAGTTTAACATGATTCCGAAAATAGTTTATATATTATCTACCGTTGACAAAAAAACAGGACTCAACGAAAAAATTATTGAAAATTACAAAAATCAATATTAAAATATTAAATAGTTAAACATAAAATAATATCATATGATTTCAAACGTACGAGTCAACAGATAATTTCAAAGAGCTTAAAAAGATCAAAATAAAAAATATTATAGCTTTTATTTTATTTTAATAGGTAAACATTTTTAAATTCTGATAATAAAAGCTATAATTTATTAAAAAAATATTATTACAATATATAATATACCTGTAATAGGTATTACAACCAATATGTTTTATTTGTATTAGGTACATCGTTAAATGTATTTAATTTGTATTATAAATATCTATGTCTTATCGTTTAGTTTGTTGTGGATGTACTGTGTAGGAATGTAGGACTAAGTTTAAGTACTTAAGTCCTACAACCCATTATCTTGCTAATATTGCTTATCTAACGTAATAGTGTAAAACCTACTAATAGCAAAACAAATTACTTTAACGGATATAACAATAAAAACATAAGTGTAAGCTGGGTAACACTCTGCTGAGCCTGCTGTACATTATAGGTACATATCTATAAAGAGTCACTGTAATGGATATGTCAAATTTCAATTCAATGATGAAACATCTTTGTATACAAAGAACGAGCGGTCTGTCAGCCTGTAATACTTATGATATTGTTGCGCTTAAAGTAATTTATTCTACTATTAAACATTACTCCATTAGTATTAGGAATAGTAGGTTAAAAAAACTGCATTTGGCAGTGTCATTGTGTTTAAACTGTTTAGTGTATACAATGTATAAATATATAATGTATATTGTATAGTGTATACTCTAAAAGTCTCAAGTAGGTACCTACCCTAAAGGCTAAAACTAATAGTTTTTAATTATAAATAAAAACTACAATCATTATTCTTAGTATTAATATAGAATTTCGTCCAAATTTAAACTTACAGTGTCAGTAAAAAATAACTATGTTTATGTATTTTTTAAATTTTTCGTTGTATTACGTTTGTAAGTAATTTTACAGTGCAAACAATTTTGTATTTAAACAATAATTTAAAAAACACGAATACAATTCGACATTTTCTTATGCCTATAAATAATTTTAAAATAATTACAATTTTTTTTACTGATGGATTTTAAAAATTATTAAAAATATTTTAATTTATTGCGATTGCAACATATTAGAAAGAAAACAACTTATTTAATTAATTGTAAATAATCAATGCAAAAATGTTATTTAAAAAAAAATGTGTTATTGTACCATGAAAAAATTTGAGAGGATAAGGAAAGAATATGTATTAGATCCTGGGGCCTTATTCTTTTTAGTTTTAATCCTCAAAATTCAAAATCCGGACCCAGTTTCATTCAATATTATCTAAATAATCAATAACTTCCACAAGCCCGGTTAGCTCAGTCGGTAGAGCATTAGGCTTTTAACCTAAGGGTCCAGGGTTCGAGTCCCTGACCGGGCGAAATGTTTTTTTTCACTTTTTTTCCAAGATTTTTTTATTGATTAGTAAAACATACATTCAAATTGAGATCAGTATATTATTTTTGTGTCGTGTAATAGTAATATATAACATAATATCAGAAGAAAAAATGATTTTCTTAACAAATTTATGGCTATTGTATTTATAATTTGAATTTTATATTACTACATATTATTGATATAATAGTAAAACAAAAACTGGTTGACATTGGTACCTAATTTTTATGAAATTCATAAGTATTTATTTTGAATTTTTATAATAGATTGTTATTCATTTTTGAAGTTAAAGATCTAATTTTATTGTGGTTTAAAGATGAAACAAAATGTGATTGTCAATACTACAAGTTGTTGTTTTCAGATATTTTATGGGACAATATTTCAAGATTTATTTTTTAATATTTTTATGAGCTAAGTTCAGATATTTACAAAAAAATTACTTAAGATTCTAACTTACAATAATTAATTTTGAGGGAGGGAAAATTTGATATACTGTTTGAAATACACATTTTAAATAAAATAGTCGAATAAGTAAAAATAATAGTAACAACAATGCAGATTTATATGTAAATACTTTAGGTACTTAATAAATACAAAATACTGAAACATAAAATTTCTTTTACACACTTTTTGTCTGGCTGAAAGTCTTGTAATATACTTACTAACAAATATTTTTGTTTTATGTATACAACTTTTTAATTCAATTATAATTAAAATTAAATTCATTTTGGATTTAAGAAACACGGAAGAAAAAGATCAGCATATTATGGTGTCTATTATGTTAAACTTATTACATTAATAAATCAGTCATATTACACAAAATCATTATTATAGATATTTGGAACCTAATTATTTTAGTATGCTAATTTGGTGGGTGAATATTTTAAATATTGTATAAGGATCCCCAAATCTGTAATTCTAACAGAAAACGCATTGAGGATAATAAAATAACTTAAACAAGCTCAAAACAAAAGGCATACTGACTACCTTGTAGCTCTAAAGACTTCAAAAATATATTGCAGCCTGCAGGATATGGAAATTCAATCCATTTTTTATTCATTACCACTGCCCAGAACAAATAAATATAAAATATAGAAGTTCAATATCCACTTAATAGTTGATGCGATGGGATCAGGTGAACATTTTTTTTTTAAATTAGGCTTTCAAAAAACCCGTTATTTTTTTCTATATGAATATGTTTTTTACAATAATAATAAAAACATAGCTTCGCAGATACAAACATGATCAGTGAAAGGCATAATACCTAATATTTCAATATTTAATTGGTTAGCCATTGTAACATTCCAACTACAAAAGAAACTGTCTGTAATCAATTGCTAGTATCGCAATTATATAAAAACAATGTTGCACAGTAAATGTTCTCCTCTTAATACTATGAAAATTTGGTTGCTTAGCTTGGACTACAGCTTGTTTGGTTCCGTTTCGTGCAAAACAGATTTTTATATGTTGGACGTTTGTATAACAGAGACAACACATACGCGTGAAGCGTCCTCTTAACAGAGACAGGTAATAATTGAAATAAAAACACAGATTATGAATACGACTGCCAGAGCAAAAAAGTTGAACATTTTTATAACCCTATCAATCATGGTTTGAAGGTTTATTTGAAAAAAGTAAAACATTTATTTGTGAAGGAAGTGGTATCAATTTCAATATTTTTGCCTAAATTAGTGTTTTTAGCTGTTTTAGTTGTTTTAGTTGCCTTTTATAATTCAGTGCACAAAACTTTTGCAATTGTGGGCCTAGACTTAAAGCAAAACTTGTTTAGGTGAAGAAGACAGTTTTTGAAAATTGGAATAGGAAAGTAAAAAGCAAGCCAATAAGTCATATTGACGCCAAATTCACTTTTACACCATTTAGGTATAAATAATCCTAGGAATATAAGAATTTTATCTATACTAAAAATAGATGGTGGGCAGAAGAATTGAGAAGTTATGCAATTGCTGAGCTCGGAAAAGTAAATTTTAGCAGCACATTAACTTTTGAAACATTCACTTCAATATTTATGACAGCATATTGTGACAATAATAATTATCAAAAACAGATGGATGCTATTAAATGGAAATTATGAATATTTCCAATTTATAAGCATCATAGTAACAAAAAGGTATAACTGCATCAACATGTTCAAATAGAGCAAAATTCATTATAAATATGCTTAATCCAGATTCCAGAATTAAAACAACTTGAGTATAATACAACTCTTGCTATTTGTGATACAGCCTTAGGGTCAGTTCTAAAAGCCGTTTTAAAACAAAACCCAGCAATAAATTCAATTTATTTATTTTTAAACTCCAAATTCAAAAGATCTTTAAGTTAAGTTGTCACTTATATTACATATCAAATACCTGATGTGAGAATAAAAGACTTGCAGCAGTTCTTAGACATGAAGAAAGTTCAGTGTCTGGTTATGGTGAATGCATTGGAATAAAAAGTATAAATCCAATAATTTCAAATATGCATATTTTAATAGAAATTGAATACTGGAATAGTGAGTAAACTGTTATGCATATTATTTTCCTAAATATATATAATAATAAAAAAACTGTGAGATTTACCTCCTGTATTAATTCATAAGGAAATAACATACAAGCTGAGAGGTGTAGTTTAACTATACACGCAGATTAAGCCGATTGAGGACATCAGTTGGGCATTGTAAACAATATGAAAAAAGTAGAGAATTAATGGAAGACCAAAAGGAAAAAAACTATACCAGTAAAAGACTGTATCTACTAAAATCATATGTAAATATTTAATATACACAATTTAACATTAAGTATAGTGTAATCGAAACTAATAAAAGATGTGTTTTAGTTTAAGTTGATTTTCAACTTTATTCAATACTTAACCACATAAATATCATAGCAAGAATAGGTATACATTTGTCAAATTTGTTAAATGTTTGGTAAATTTACCCATAAATTTAGTGTTTAGGTTGAACAATTGATAAATAAAGTATGGAAATAACTAAAAAAAACAAACATTTATTAAGAACAGTTTATTGCTCGATTAGTAGAGTGAGAACTTGTAGTTCCTCTGTTAAAAATTGAAGGGGTATTCAACTAAATAAATATTATATTTTATAACCTATTTTACCTATGAATATACAAGAATCACGAGTACACGACATGAACAACATACGAAAAATTGGTATTTTATGTTAAGAAATTGTAAGTAGTCTGTAGAAAGAAAACAAATAGGTATTTATTATCTAATGACTTTGTAATTTGTCACTACCATAGAACAATATAATATTTTATGTATTATTCTACTTCACTTCTCACTACATAACTACATTAATATTATTAGGTCAAAATTAAAAGTTTTAATAAACAATAGACAATAGACATTAATGTATGATACTCTGATAATTGATAAATAAAAATGAGTTTTTTAATGAGTAGATAAGAATTGTTATCTCACTATCTTTTATCATATTCTCGATCATAAAATGTATAAAATAAATTATAAAATAAAGCGATTTTTACCGATTTCATGTAACACCATAGATAATAAAGATATGGATAGGACATATTGGTCTTATCAGCGGTCTTCGAGGGGAACAATTGAGGCCAAATAAAGTATACCTATATTGAGTATCGACTATCAATATAAAGGAGCCTCAATTGCCTTCCCCTCCGGGAACGCGGCCTCAAATGTATTTAACATAGGCGTGGCCTATCCATATCTTTATTATCTATGTGTAACACACAGTATTTCTATCAAGAATTGCAGCGTTGCATTACCTAAGGCGCAATAATATAATATACTGTTGATGAATATTTTAATGATCCAAACGACACAATAAAAACCTCGATACGAGCTACTTGTTGCATTCTTTTGTTTCTCCTTATTAATTTAAATAGTAGGTACCGAGAATATAAAGTAATGTCGACCACCACTATAGTAGTATCAATAACAATTACTTTTTTAGCA